GGCCTTTAGCAGATATTTCATGTTCAAATTGAAATAGGATGAATATAATGCTGCCTTGTTTGATGTCAAATGCACCAAGTTGGTTGACTCACAACATTGAGGAATGAAGTCACAAATCAAAAGAAGTTCAGAAAGTTTTTTGGGAAAAAAGAGAGAAGAATAGCCCTGGAATTTCAGAAATGTTCTTCAGTGTTTAAGACCTATTGTCAGGGGTCATTTTACAGGAAAGTCACAATGCGGGTACATTTTGGGTCTCTAACTACAATCAACCTATAAACTTGTGGTGGCTTAACTAATATTATTCAACCTTTGGAAGAAGTCACCCAGAAAAAGTATGTTGAAAGATCCAAGGCATTTTGTGGGAACAATAATCCAGTTGTTCTTGTCATTGAGTATGGTAACTGATGCCTCTCTGGACTTCCTGGAAGAGGTGGTGGTAACTGTAGTACATTTCAAGCTGTTGTTTGTCTCTCCAGGAGGCATGTAGACATGGTCACTGCATCTTCACCTTCTGGCTTTCTTCAGTTGTACCTTTAGCAGGGATTGTTGTGTTTAGGTTTTTACACTGACTCCTTTGAGTTTCCACTTCCTCTCTGAGATGTATATCAATTCCTCTCTACTTTGACCTCCTCTAGTAAAATAACAATACTATATGAATGGATAAAGTAACGTTTAAACGTTTAATGAAATATTATTTAATGGGTGCCTGGGATTTAACTCAGCCGGCAGAAGCACCTGCCTGAAAAGTGCTAGGTTGTGAGTTTCATCCCTGGTACCTAAAAAAAAAGTGTTTTAAACTGCAATGAAAGAAAATAATTTCATTGAAGATGTAGATTAACAAGATTTTTAGTTAAATATGTCAATGGCAAATTAAACATTGGTAATAATCATATTTAGAATATAAAGATGTTAGGCTGCATATTGAACTCAGTGGTCAAAGCACCTGCCTGGCAAGCACAAGATCAGGAGTTCAATCCCTGGTACCAAAGAAAAATCTACAGTTGTCAACCCTGTAGTGCTATGAGCACAACTATTGAAATTGATAGTTGTTCATTAAAAAGCTCAATGTTTCTTTTGTTGTCTATGAAGTACCTATGAAGGACCGGAAATTTAAAGGTTAAAAACAAGATTCTGTTTCTCAGCTAGAAACACCACTGGGCCTCATGACTCAGTCCTAACTCAGCCCTGCAGGAAGATCAAAGAAAACATCTGCAGCTGTGATATGTTCAGGCTGTGCTATTTCAGGGAACTCAGAGATAGAGCCTGCCGATTATGCTAATCAGGGTTGTGAAACATGTCAAACTCGACCATACCGAAACCAGGTGTCCTAAAGATAAGTTGTGCAGAACAAGACAGTTAATTAACTCTGACCCGCTGGTCATCCCTGATGAGCTAACCAACCACAAATGGACAGACTGCCAACTATCCCGCTCTAACTGCTGTGATTGGCTTCTGTAAATAAACGCTTACATTGTGTTTTTTTCCCCCTTAAAAGCACCAGCCTTGCCCCAACTCGGGGTTCTCCATTTCTACCTGTTTGGAGGACCCTGTGCGCGTGGAATAATGAAGACCCCTTTGTTCTTACATGAAGACGGAGCCCTTAGATTCTGCTTTGAGACACCAGTTGTACACATACAAATAACCTGGTAACTACTGTGAATAATACACTGTGCACTATACCACTGCTATTTGCTAAGAGCTGCTCTTATTTTTCCCCATATATTTGAAAGATGAAAATGACTGGTGATGATAGAGAAATTTTATTGGATATTTCACTACATCCACTAAGTACATTTTATTTGCTACAATTATGCTAAGTGAAATAAATAAATAATTCTTAATGTTACAGGCATCTGTGTTAGTCAGAAATATAGGCAGTCAGATAGTTATATAATGGAATGAAACACCTGACCTACTATGTCTGGTAGGAGTTTGTGTTCTATAAAATAGAAGAATGAATTTTAGGAACAAAGGAGGTAAAGAGCAGAATATATTACTTAGAGAAAAAAAATGAAAGGTTTTTGCTCTAGATAGGATATTACCACAGTGGGAAGCAGGTCAGGGGACATTTACCCTGAGATCACGTACCTCTCCCTTAGGCAACTTACTTGTGGCAGGAAAAGAGTCCCAATCAGCTACTGGCACATCAGCAATGACACCTTTAAGCACCACCACAGTCAAACTACAGTATACAAAGTTGTACTCAAGGATTTCAAGGAAAGAGACAATATGGTAACTACTTTTATGTCAGTATTATCTGATGGTGAAACACTATTCTGCTTAAATGGTTATGATTTGCTCTGCACAGCTTTGCTGTTATGTCCTCTTTTATCTCAAGCTCCACTCCATTATTTACTTTTTTAATTTATCCTTTTAATTAAGGGAAAATAAATAAAAATAGCAGGATATATTATAGTAACCCACTTTGACTTTCCATTATCTCGATTTAAAGCCCTGTATTACTCTCACCATCTTGTTTTTGACTGATGTTCCCCTATTCTGTTTTGCTGGATAGTATCAGGTTTGAAAGTTTAGGCATCAGCTGTGAAGATAATGAGATTCATTATAATGTCCATTCTCATTGACTTTTATCTACATTTGAAGACCTACAATGTCTCCAATGTTTTCGTTTTGTCAGTTTTGTTCTTTACTGTTTTGTTCAATTTTATTATAACTAATGATATAGGCAATTCTATTAGAGATAGCAGGAGGCATTATGGTAACCATTGTTGATAACCTTGTATTATGTTTTTACATTATCTATTATGTCCACCCTTTTGATTTGACTGATTCTGTTCTGTTATGTCACATTTGGTTTTACTCTCTTCCAAAAAAAGTAATAAGAACTGTGGGAGAAATGAAACCCAAAATATGTAATAGTCATTGTACAAAAGAGAGGAAAAGAAAGTGCTCTAAACTATATAACTGCATGTATATTTAAGTGTATAAGATAGAAAATGATATCACAGAGTTTTATTGGATCATTGAATGGAATTGTTTGCAGTATCATTGTTGGAATGTCCACTTTACAAGCTTTAATTTTGTGACTTGAACATTTCTAAGATGACAATATGTAATCCATTAACTAGTGATTTCCTACTGTTTTTTTTTTTCTGTAAATCTGTATAACTTGTAACCTTTCTCTGCTTTTTTTTCTCCTTAAATAAAATTTTTTTTAAAAAGTAGATATAAGCCCCCTCACCATGTATCCAGCAGAAAAAGGCAGACATCTAGTGGTCATGTGATCCAACTTCTTAGAATAAATGCCATTTTTACTTTATATTCTCTCCTTTACCATAGTGACAACCCTATCAGAAAGCTTCTGTCTGAGTGAACAGAAGGGGTCATAAGTGGCTTGTCAAGGACACTGTATCTTCTAGGGACTTTATAGAATAAAATCATGGGGTGAGATGGGTTTAAGGTGGGGGAAATTGGGAACTCACAAGGGAGATGGGCATAACTTTGGACAGAGCTATGTTTAGCCAATATAATTAATAGTTCAGGCAAAATCATTTACACTGCAGACAAATGGGGAAGTGAGGTCATAGAAATCAGGCACTTTACAGAGCAGTAACTCTCCTCTATGGGATTGAGAGGATGACTCCTGACTTCAGCAGGGTGACAGGAACTATTTAGAAAATCAATTCTTAGAACATGGATGCATTTGCTTGGTATTTTCTCTTGAGGACTGTCCCATAACAGGAGGTATCTGTCTTCACATAGCTGCAAGGTATGTGGGCTTCTGAGCTGGCTACATCTAGGACTTGATCCTGTCTCCATGGCTGTATATTTCTAATTAACTCAGCTGCCTGTAACAAGGCTTGCCCCTCAAAGGAGCCAGAAAATAAGTTCACATTGCTTGCAGGATTGGAAGAGACAATCACCTCCTGCTGTGGGCCAAATCTCAAAACAAAAGGTAAATTAAATACAACCAAGTGCTAAGGAGCAACAGTCCAAATAGTTCTCTGATCACCCTGAGGAACACAAGAGCCCCCATCCCAACCCTCTAAAAGAAGAGTCTCTGCTCTTAAACCTGCCCATTTACTATGACTTGCTCTCCCATTTGCTCCCAATTTAATCAATTTTACCTGAGCAATTAACCTTATTGGTTGACCACATTTCTATCCCGCCTTATGCTTAACTTTCAGATTCCCATTTTTCCCCTCCCCTGGACCCATCTAACCCCATGGTTTAACTCTATACAAGTTTCTCAAAAAGATAGAGTCTTTAGCAAACCACTCAGAACTTTCCTGTCTCTAATACAGAAGCTTTCCTTCTCCCAATAAATATATTCCACTCTTAAACTCCATCATTCCTAAAATTCATTCTTCAATTTTAGGGAACACAAACTCATACCGGATATATAGTAGGTAAGGAGTTTCATTCCCCTAGACCATTAACATGAGCCAAATTAACATGACTATACTTTTATAATGTCTGAAATTTGTTTCTTTTCCTGCAGTTTCAAGTGATTAATACTGAAAGAGTTGCCGGCCCAGATAAAACACTGTAACCAGAAAAGGGTGCACCTAAACTCCTCCCCCACCCTGCCCCCTATGGACTTGATTGTAATTCTGTATCCCCATCCTTAAGGACCTGTGCGCCAATGAGATATCTGTGCATCTCTAATGAAGTTAGGGTGCTGCCCTAAGCTTAGGCTATTTAGATCTCCCACGCCACGTGTCTGAGAGAGTTCGCCGGGGAGTTTTGCCAGAGGGAGTTCGCCAGAAAGAGAGAGCTTGCCAGACTCCAGCGCGCCAGTCTCCACTCCCCGTGTTCCCAGAGACACCACAGCCCGGCCCCGGGCTCCGTGCAGAGATGCCCGGGGCCGGCACCGCCGGCGGCGGGGGCCCCCTCCCCGCATTCCCGGAATAAAGCCACCGCTGACCACTACTTTTACGGCCGTCCACTCCGCTCCATTCCTCCCGCAGACTTCTCCTTGCCCTCCCCCTTCTCCCAGACCTAACAGATGGTGCCCTGTGACTCGGCGGCAGGTGAGAGACTATACTTTTCTCAGTTTTGTTTTATAGTCCCCCTGCTGTTAAAATTTCTTTACTTCTGCAGTCAAAAATCCACTACCACTCGGATAATTAACTCCCCTGATAACTTTTAAAACAGGCTGTTTCTCTCCCAGAGTGCGCTCTTTTGTTCCTGTGTCCCCGACCCGCGCGCCCTTCTTCCGGCTCCCACTCACAACCTCGGCGCCGCCGGTCCCACAGTCATGACGGCCTTCCGCGTGGCCCGCGAGGCCTAGTCACCCCAGGGGGGGCCCACGCCCGGCGCCTCTTCCCCCCCACCCCCACGTTATAGCTCCCTTTCTTTTGCCGGCGCAGCGGCTCTGGGCGCGAGGGCCCTTTACAAAACTTTTAAAGCAGCTTTCTTTCCCAGCGCGGCTCCTCTCCCTCTCTGCCGCGCGCCGCCTCCGCGCTGCCGGTCCCGCGGTCATAACGGCCTTCCGCGTGGCCCGTGAGGCCTGGTCACCCCAGGGAGGGGGGCCCTTTACAGGACTTTTAAAGCGCCTTTATTTCCCGGCGCAGATCCCTCCCCGCCGCGCGCTGCCTCCGCGCGCCGCCTAGGCGCCGCTGGTCCTGCGGTCATGAGACGGTCTCCCGCGTGGCCCGCGGGGCCTGGTCACCCCAGGGGGGGGCCGCGCCTGGCTCCTCTGCGCCAGGCGTCTCTCCCCCCCTCCACCATGTTTTAGCTCTGTTTATTTCGCCGGCGCAGCGGCTCAAGCCCCGGCCCCTCCATTCATTGGCTCCGCCCGCGCCTGGCTCCTCTTCCTTTTGTTTCCCACTTTACGCCGTTCTCCCGAAGTTAAATAAGACCAGACAAACCTAAAATTCACATCAAACTGCTTTTAATTTTAAAAACAGCCTTTTTTTCTTTCTTTCCCTCTCACATTGCGTTCCAATTCTGTGGCCTCTCTGGCTTTGGTCTCCAGCCCAGCCCATTCATTTCCTGTTTCACCACCCACATGGCGGCAGCGTCCCTGCGCCATACGCCACCCGCCGTAGCCGCCCAAAAGCCGTGGCTTTCACAGCGCGCCCAGCTCTGGCGTGGCCGTGAGCCTTTCAAAACAAAGCCCACCTAACTTCACGCTGTGCCTCTCCTGCGGCCACACCCTGCCCCACACACCGGGCTCCTTACAGCAAGCAAGCCATGCCTCTGACTGCCTCTGCCGCTGCACCGCCCCTACAGGGCGCGGCCACCATCTCTGCCGCCCGCCTCGGCTGTCGCCCCGCCCCTCCGGGGCACAGCCACCGCCTTGGCCGCCGCGCCGCCCCTCCGGGGACGCGGCCACCCCCTCTGTCGCCCCGCCCCACGCGCGCGGGGCTCCGCGCAGCCAGCAAGCAGTGCCTCTGACTGCCTCTGCCACCGCCCCGCCCCTCCGGGACGCGGCCACAGCTCCCTTTGGCGCCAGGCGCCAACTGGGATCAGCAAAGCCTTGCCTCTGACTGCCCCTGCCCGCCGCGGCCACCATCTCTGCTGCCCGCCTCGGCCGTCGCCCCGTCCGTCCGGGGGACCGAACGCGAGCTGCAGCTCCCACTGACGCCAGGCGTTAACTGGGATCACCATTCGGGGCCTCCAAGCCCCACCCCCTTACGCGATCGCAGCGGAACGACGTCATTTCCCTGCGCCGCTTAGCGCGTCACGGTAAGCCTCCGTTCTCTGCTTACGGTGTCCCGCGTTCGCCCCGCCCACTCTGCAGTTCCTTGCTTGCCCCTCTGCGGCACCACACACACAGGCTGCCACTGGTGCCGCATGACAATTAGCGCGACACAGTAAGCCTCCGCTGTCTGCTTACAGTGTCCCGCGTTCGCCCCGCCCACTCTACACGTTCCTTGCCTACCTCTCCGCGGCACCGCACACACAGCAGCTCAGCGGCTCTGCTCAGGCATGCTTTTTTTACAATTTGGCTCCGCTCAAGAGATGCTTTTTTATTACAATTCTCAAACCGTTTAATCAAAGTTACTGGCCACCTGATAATTTTATCAGCCTTGTTTATCAATCAAAGCCTTCACCACCTCCTGTTTAACAACTAAGGTTATAAATTCCTTTTTGCTGGAAACCACTAGCTCTATTTCAAGACAAGGGTTTTCTTCAAAGTTTTATTTTATTTTACCAACCTTATTTATCAAAGCCTTCACCAATCTCCTGTTTAACAACTAAGCTTATAAATTCCTTTTTGCTGGGAACCACTAGCTCTATTTCAAGACAAGGGTTTTCTTCAAAGTTTTATTTTATTTGTCTTGATTCATAGTACTGCAAATAACAACTTTAAAAGTAACTGTGTTCAAAATCTGACAGTATTATATCAGTTTTGATTTATTCATAAGATTGCTAAACCTATACTTACTTAATTCTACTATAGTCCAAATCCCAAACAAAAAGGCAAAACTTGACCTTCAAACCTTAGAGAGATCTTAATATGGTTTTTTATATTTTTAACACTTGTGACACTTGGAGTTCTGAGACAGGTAAACCTACACAAGGTGGAGCTGCCTGCCCCCTCCATGGACCACGCTCAAATGCAGCAGAAGATACTGGACAAAAATGTCCCATCCTGGCATTCTTTGAGACCTTACTCCAGGGCTACTGGACTGTCCTAGCCACCAGAGAGTGGGTAAGCCATCCTAAGTTCTAGCCCTCATAGGAAATGTCGACACTGCCAGATTCGTCACCGACAAAAATTCGCTGCTGGAGGCTGAGGGGGTTCAAGATAACAACAGCCCCCTTTAAGGTGTCCGTCTCAGATTCCAAGTCACACTACAGTCTCAGGTAAGATATTCTCTATATTTGTGGACATAGAGGCCATATATACAGGATTCTTCCTGAGTATTCAGGTTGCTATATTAAATCAATCTCTATGACATGGTATTGATGGTCAACCTATGCCATTTACAAACAGGCCCATTTTTATACAGGTCCCAGTCCTAAATCATAAAATGCTTTTATTCCCTTTTAAACTGCCATTCTGGTCTCACATTACTCAGGCCCTAGATCTAACCATCCTTTTGATGCTCATCTCTGCCTTATGACTCACAGGTTGTCATGTTTTGTTGTCCAGTTTGATTCTTAATTTCTTACATTCTATTAATAATCATTTCTATAGCGGGAGTCCTTAACACGGTTGCCTACAGACTCCAACATCATATATACCAGAGACAAGCCTTACCTACCTACCTTTTAACTTTTGTGCTTTCATAGGGGGGAGTAAACACCTCTCATAACTTCACTCCTCCTAATCCCACGTTTATTTTTCAGAATTCTGCCTTGCCACCTCAACGTCACCCTGATAAAATACCATCTCAAAACCAAAGTCACCTTCCTATCTACCTCACCTGGGTCCTTAAATATAATAGTGCCATGTCTCCTAATAACATTATGTCTCTTTGTTTTTCCAGTCTGACATACATACATTCACCAGTGAAGTTGTCCTGGCTAAAACACCTGGCATCAGTGTCTACCTGGGCATCAACCTTCATCCTGTCAAACTCCCCTAGACCCCAATACAGCGCCCTCAGCCAGCAGGAAGTAGTTACAGAGAGAGATCTTCGCCCCTTTTCCTAATAACCAGAAGACGGGATATGAAAGAGTTGCCGGCCCAGATAAAACACTGTAACCAGAAAAGGCTGCACCTAAACTCCTCCCCCACCCTGCCCCCTATGGACTTGATTGTAATTCTGTATCCCCATCCTTAAGGACCTGTGCGCCAATGAGATATCTGTGCATCTCTAATGAAGTTAGGGTGCTGCCCTAAGCTTAGGCTATTTAGATCTCCCACGCCACGTGTCTGAGAGAGTTCGCCGGGGAGTTTTGCCAGAGGGAGTTCGCCAGAAAGAGAGAGCTCGCCAGACTCCAGCGCGCCAGTCTCCACTCCCCGTGTTCCCAGAGACACCACAGCCCGGCCCCGGGCTCCGTGCAGAGATGCCCGGGGCCGGCACCGCCGGCGGCGGGGGCCCCCTCCCCGCATTCCCAGAATAAAGCCACCGCTGACCACTACTTTTACGGCCGTCCACTCCGCTCCATTCCTCCCGCAGACTTCTCCTTGCCCTCCCCCTTCTCCCAGACCTAACAAATACAATTCACAGTGATTATAGTGGTGGCAATATCTAAAATTATATACAACAGTCATTATAAGTGTAAAATAATTGCTTTGATTGTATTATTTAGCAAGACATAGACTTTGCCTTGGCATTAGTTTATATCTTACAAAAGAGAAGGTTCACCTATAATTGTTCAGAAAAAATTTCTACATTATTGGCTGATTGAACAATTTTTAATTAGATAAACTGTATTTTTTCAGTTTCTAGAAGGCTTCTATTATATTATTGAAAGCTGTCTGTAGGCCTCTTGGACCTTGGCTATATATATTTTGATGAATAATTCTGTTTTGAAACTTGTATGAAGATTTATTTTTATCTTAGGATTAAATTGTTAGACCGGTGTGCGAGGAAGACTCCAAGGGCCTCGCTCTCATGTAAAAACAAAAGGGGTTTTTATTATTCCGTGTACACGGGGTCCTCCAAACAGGTGGAAATGGAGAACCCCTTACTCGAGCAGGGCTGTGCCTTTTAAGGCCTAAAACCGCAAAGCAAGCAAGCATTGTTACAGAAGCCAATCATAGTGATTAGAGCAGAGCTGATGGTGAGCTGTCCTTAAGGGATTGGGTTTTTTTTTTTTTTTTTTTTTTTTGTCTTTTTCCTTTTTATCGGTACCGGGGATCGAACTCACGACCGCCTGCTTGCAAGGCAGTTGCTTATGCCGCTGAGCTAAATCCCCAGCCCCTAGGGATTGGGTTTTTTAGTGGGGCAAGGGAGTGTCTCCTTAGAAGGGGTGGCATTTTTTAGGAATAGGCGTTTGTCTCATGACTGAGAGATCTGTCTTAGATTAAGACTGTTTGTCTTAACTGTTTAAGAACACTGGTTCCTGTGGGGGTGGAGCTGCACATAGTTTTGAAACTCACACCACAAGGCCTCCTGAATAGAAAAGTCTAACAGCAATTAACAACCTTAATTACCTTACTTTAGCACCACAACCGTTCTATTTGTAGAGGGCAACAATGGTTAGCATATCAATTAAGTAAGATTTTACAATTCTTTACAGAAGAGAGCATTGATTAACATATCAATCTTTTACCCAGAGAAAAAGGAAGACACACATTTACAGTTACAGGTATTACTGTGATACAATACCAAGTTACAGGTATTACTATGATATAAACGAAGCTATTTTTGTGAAGAATGTACAATCTAATACAATCTGATGTAATTAACACAATTTGTGATGGGGCTTCTGGATAGGGAAGACCCAGGATGTCAGGAGCTATTACCTCAGGCCTTTGTTTTATGGCCTTTAGGAAGTTAAAACTTAAGCTAGTTGGATTTGAAGGGAGAAGGGGAGGGGAAGCAGCAGATGGAATGAGCTTTCTTGGTCTCTTCACTAGGATAGGCATGTATTTGCTTATCATTTGTCTTGAAACCAAATTTATATTTCAAAATACTGCTTAATTATATTAAGAACAAAGTACTCAAATGAGATTTGAAAAGACATCATCTGTAGTCTATCAAAGGGATTGATGAGATATTTTTTTTTAATTTTGAAAGTGGTGAAATACAACAGAACAAGACAGAATAAGGCCACCTAAGATTGTACAGTGAAATTGGTACAGAAATTCACAACAGGTTAGTGGGGTAATAATAATAGGTATCACAGTATATTTTACTATCTTTATAATAGTTATTCTTTCAATCACATATATCCAAATGAGATGAAATACAGAGCATTATAGAACTTATCAAAACAAAATATTGAATAGAGCAGTTCCATAATCACAATAGAGCAAAACAGTAATAAAAATATTTGCCTTCCATGAGATAGTAGAAGGAAGTCCCCCTTATTTGCTTTGGTCAGCTTCCAAGGAGACGCTCAGTTTTCTGGTTCCCATTTGCTAACAGGAGGATGATAGGAGAAGAGGGGTAGGGGAAGTGGGATGTTTGATTCTAGGCTGTAAATCAGTAGGTTCACTATTGCTTAGCAGCGAGGCAGGCTGGCTGGTTGTTTGGTTTCACAGTGTCCTAAGTTCCAAAAGGGTGTGGATCTCAGGAGCTGCTGTTGGATCTCCCCCTGAAGGGCCACAGTGTGCCAAACCACCACTGCTTACCAGGGATGGCAGGTACTTGCTTGGCTTCCCAGTGTCCTAAGTTCCAATATGGCATGGATCTCAGGAGCTGCTGATAGTTCTCCCCCTGGAAGGGCTGCAGTCTGCCAGACTGCCACCACGTACCAGGGAGGGGATGTGCTTGCTTGGTTTCCCAGTTGATTGATGAGATATTTATCTGCCTCTGTACTTTGTGGATGCTGGTCCTTCAGGCTTCTCACTGTGAGCTCTGTTTTAGAGACAGTACACAGGGAATCTTGCAGGGACTGAGCACAAGAATCAGTGCTCCTATTTGGCTCTTAAATTAGCAGAGAGTTGCAATCTAGCATCAAACTTGCTGTCTCCAAAATAATTGTGTGTATATTCACACAATTAATGACCCAGACATGGAATTAAGATTTGAATGAATCAGTCTCCATTCAGCTCTTCTGTTTGGTATTATCTGTTTAGGTTAGTTTTGTTTTATAGAGACAAGCATTCTGTATGCATATCAGCTGGATTTGTACCCTGTATGGAGCCTAGAATTCTTCTGACCACACCAAAGCCCTCCTGTCTCAGCCTTGTGAGTGCTGGGATTATAGATATACACCACCACATTTTGCCTTTGATTCAGATTTGTAGGAGAGAATTTAAGATACCCCAAACCTGGAGTCACAACATTCTTTGAGAAATATATGTATGATCCTTTTAAGAGTTGGTGACCTTTGAGGATGTGGCTGTGAACTTCAGCAATGAGGAGTGTACTTTGCTGAGTCTATCCCAAAAGAACCTCTACAGAGATGTGATGGGAGTAATCTTTAGGAACTTGATTGCAATAGGCAAGCATGACATCTTTTTGTCACTCATGCTGTTAGAATGTTTGTTGCTCATCAGTGACGTCCCATTAAAAGCAATGTGAAAATATTTTGAAAAATAGCTCATACCTAGTCACATTATATCATAAATCTAAACAAAATATTAATTTGCATTTATTACTCTAATGATTCCTGGAACTTCAATGTCTACAATTCAGGAGGACTTGGGGGATATCCAGGAAGCTGAAAAAGAATGCAAAATTTACTGGAAATACTTAAGGTCATTCACACTCATAAGGGAAAGAATGTTCCTGAGTAATTAGTTTGTGAGCAGAAAAATGAGAGCCAAAGAAATGAGGCACCATTCAATTTAATGTCAGTAATATTCTCCCAAGATGTATAAGCCAGGATATGTATAATGAGGGAATTAAATCATGAAAATGTATGACATTGCACATAGATGTGTACAAAAGGCATACACTTTGAGTTATGACATTCTGCCTCCAGTTTTTCTATCCATATATACTTGCAAATACAACACTTTCATTATCTAACAATTGCTAAGATTGCAATAGAATTTGAAGTAAAACTGAGTGCTCATGTTTCCAAGCCATGCTATAGAGAATCAGCCATTCTGATTAAAATTCTAAGTAGGATGGTGGAATGTTAAGTGCATTCATTCCGAATATCATTATGCAGTTATCTCTAGAAGTTGATCCCATCATACTTGTCCTGGATACATTTTTAAAAATTCAAAATCCATATAAAATACAGATACATGCTTCCTCATATACAAAGCAGATCAAGTTATAAGAGATCAGGCCTTGAAGCAGCTTAGCAATGTATAACTGGATTTGTGGAGAAGGAAAATGTTAATAGACTCTCTGTGACTGTGCATTCTTGTAAACCCAGCACCCTAGGAATCAGATTTTGCAGAATGGCAAATTCAAATTCATCCTTCACAGCTTAATAATCAGTGAATATCTCTTAAAATAAATATAAAAGCTAGAGATATTATGCTAATAGTTGTTGTTCATTCCCAGCATGGAAAACAAAAACATGTTATATAATGCCAAAAAATAAATAATATAATGTCATTTGCGAAGAGAAATGTGTGAGTCTTTCTCCCATCAATTCAATAAAATAGCTCAGATATAACGCCTAAAAGGTCACTGGGTTTCTTTTAGATGAGAAACCAAAATATTAATTGTGAAATGAAATATAAGAGGGTTGATAAAGAAAATTAACACTGAATGTTTGGAAAAGGGAATTACAGGTTAAGGACAGAAGGGAGACTGTGATTGAGAAATGCATCAGAATGATTTGTCTGTGATACCTATATATACCCATGCCCAAAGTGAATCTAAATATTCTGCATTTCAAAAAGTACCAAATTTTAAGATTTCCAAATGTGTACTACTGTTTTGGAAATGGTTGTTTTCAACATATCTTACAAGGCCATTCTGTTGCTTCATTGTCAGAATTTTTTAGCAGGCATTAAAAGCAGAACTTGATGTTAATGGAGTCATTAACACAGAGACCCATTTCACTGTGATTTTTTAAAATTTTATGTAAGGAAAGACTAAACAAAACAAAATAAGTAGAAATAATGCTACTTTCAAAGTGAAAATAAATGGTAAGAAATAACTAGTTGATGATTTCATATGGTGCTCATAGAAATATTTAATCAAGATACAAAAGTGAAACATATGAAGTGGGGATTCAAACAGCGAGACTGCACACAGTTTTGTTCAACTGTCCAACAAAAACTTTATAATATGTTTATCGATCCTATATGTGATTTTTTTCTTTACAGAAATGACAAGCTAGGGAAATCCTATGGACATACATCTTGGAATCAGTGTAAAGAAGTATTCCTTTGTACTACAGAAGGTAATTGGAATATGAAAGAAACAGAAACACACCAGAATGTTCAGATCCATAAAAAATATTGCAGTGGAGGGAAACCCTATGTATGCAAGCAATGCAGGAAAGCTTTTACCTCAAATGGAATTTGTAAGAAACATGGAAGAATTCACAGAGGAGAG